GAGAAACTCAAAAATATCTATAATTACAACTTTGGATATGGAGAAACTCAAAAATATCTATAATTACAACTTTTGGATATGGAGAAACTCAAAAATATCTATAATTACAACTTTGGATATGGAGAAACTCAAAAATATCTATAATTACAACTTTTGGATATGGAGAAACTCAAAAATATCTATAATTACAACTTTGGATATGGAGAAACATCAAAAAACTTTTACTAAAACAAAACCTATGTTCTCTTCCCCTGCCAGGAAACGATGGTGCCGCGCCCCGTGACCCCGAGAGACCGAGGCAAGTCACCCGTTGGGAAATCTCACACCTCCGGACCGGCCGTGCCCACACAGGCTAAGATGAAGTGTAAGTTTTTTAAAAATCCAGTCAGTTTGTCCGTGTCTGATGAGCTGAACCCTATCTGTACGCCCTGGGGTCATTTTGTACCCCCGGGGTTGTATTCTTCACTTTTTAGAATACTTCTAGTACGAAGATCTCTTTGAAACTTTCAGTATTTCTCAAAAATCATTTTGACAGACTGCTATGCAAAGCGTACGGATCAGATTAATGAGTAAATTTCCTCTTTGGAAAGTGGTGGCACAGAGTTCCCCACGTCGTATGGATACGATAGTAAAACACAACGTACGGATAGGGTTATTGGGCTGTTTATATTGTCGGCTTCCCAAGCGCGCACCCACTCACACCCACACATACACACATACACACACACTCTAACACACACTCACACACACACACTTTCTCTCTCTCCTCTCCCCCCCCCCCCCCCCCCCCTCAAAAACACACCAAAAAAATCCCTAAACAAACCCTCCCACCCCTAAAAAAACCCAAACCATTCTTCAAACAATGCCATGAGCATAGTTCAGCGTTACTAAGAATAAACCAACATGTCTGTTCGTCTGTCTGTCTGTGTGTGTGTTCAGTCCCCAAGTCGTATGAAGGACTCCGCGACATGAACCAGATCATCGGCGTGATCCGCGACCAGCCCAAGGTCGGCTTCCTGTACATGAGCCCCGCCGTGCCAAAGTCCTCTGTCAACTACCACTACTACAACCTCAAGTAAGTTTATATATATACAGCCACTACAACCACAACTACCACTACTACAACCTCAAGTAAGTTTATATATATACAGCCACTACAACCACAACTACCACTACTACAACCTCAAGTAAGTTTATATACCACAACCACAACTACCACTACTACAACCTCAAGTAAGTTTATATACCACAACCACAACTACCACTACTACAACCTCAAGTAAGTTTATT